TGACTAGAAAAACATTTGATAAAGTCCAACCCTCTTCATGATAAAAATCCTACAGAAAATTCAAATAGACTGTCTTTATCTCAATCTGGTAAAAGCCATCTATCAAAAGTATTTCACTCTGTTGTGAAATGGGTCCCCAAATCTTTTTCATCTCACAAATCTGAAACTCTGTACCCATGAAACAACTCCACAATCAGCTTTGGGCATTTCCATGAGATAGAAATAATACTTCTAATACTTCACCTAAGTGGAATCACAATTTATTTTTAATCTAAAATATTTACACTCACTGAGTGCAAGAGATTTTTGCTTTGCTTGGCGGCTTATTGCTAGTAGCCTGACCCACGTGTAGTCCATAAGAGTACCAGGGGTTTTATATGACTTAGTATTTCATAGCCCTTATTAATGATTTAGCCCTGAATACACAAACTAAATGTCATCGTCTTAAAGGATCATTCACTAGATGTTCAGGTAGTATTTGACTTGAAGTTATTTATAAAATTTTTATTTTTCTTTGAATGTTAAATCAAACAGCATAAGAAATGTGAGACGGCAAGAGGAAAGATGCACTTATTACCATCTCGTGCTGCAGAATCTATTATTACCGCATGCAGCCTCTGCTGTGTAACTCTAGTTTTCACTGAGTGGAGTCTCACCTGCATTTTGGCTGCAGTCTAGTCATTTGTGTGACCTCAGGCAAATCATTTAATTTCTTTAAGTTTAGGCATTATTATCCCTACCAGTATTCTAATTGGCACTTAAGGATGGGGATAGTAGTGGCTGCCCTGCCTACTTTAGAGTTTCAAGAGCGGGCAATAAGCCAGGCATGGTGGCACATGCCTATGACCTCAGCACTCAGGAGGACGAGGCAGGAAGATTGCTGGGAGTTCAAGGCCAGCCTACCCTACACACTGAGACCCTGCCCCCTTAAAAAGACTAGAGAATAATATATGAGAAAGCTATAAAATAGCAACTTTATGTATTGTGAACACTGGACCAGGTGACCCAGACCACACTGCTGGCATACAGGAGGCAGAGGCAGCTTTTTACAAATTCAATGCCAGCCTGGGCTACACAGCAATACCCTACTTCAAAAACAGAAAACAAACAAAACAAAACACCCCCCCAAACCGTACAGAGAACATATATTCTTAGAGAAATGTCACCCTTTCCAAACCTCTCTTCACTTTTATGTCTTTGTTCTGAAAATTTTATGTTACCCTAAGAGACTACCTCCTGTTGTTTATTTACTGGGTTTCAACAAAAAAAGTTCAGATAAAAAAACTCAACGACATTTTCCTTTTTTCCTGCAACTAGGGCTAGGAATGAGGGAGTAAGGGCCAGCCAAGGATTTCCCTCCCTTTCCCACTCCCTCTCCCTTGACTTCCCAGCCAGCAGACCTTCGGACACAGCTGAAGGGGACAGAGGCAGGAGGCACACAGGAGGAAATGACAAGCTGAAGTCAGAATCTCCGGAATGCTTTGAATCTTTACCTGTAGCTTCACATAAATGAGCTTCACATAAATTTGACTCAATGATTTATGCAAGAAGCTGGAAACGCAGGACCTGTGGGTTCTGGCCTTGAGTCTGACATTTGTTTCCTACAGGTGACCTAACCACGTCCACCCCCTGTGTTTCATTTAAGCTATCATCTAACAACGAGGCTGGCGATACCTTATTCTTTCCCAGGGTTGTAAAAAACTGAAAAAGAAAATAAAACTCACTAAGAACTACACGAGGAAAGCTAAACAACCATAGCTTTTTATGAGAGAACTGATACAAAATAGTCCAGAAGTTAAAAGTTTTAGGGGTATTACAGCACTATTTACCCAAGGGGACCAGGAAAGGGAGGCTGGGTGACACAGATAACCTCAAACATTCTTTCTGATGATTAAACACTTTTCCACTCAAACTTTCACAAAGTACCATGAAGACTTTTAAAACGCTCATTTCTTCTCAGTCCTCATGTGTGCATCTACTTACAGTGAAGGTGGCTAGAAGTAGGAAAGGAATTTGGAGAAGTGACAGAGGAGGTAGAAAAGCGAAAGGACTCAGAAATCATTCACTGTTTAACCAGTTCTTAGTTTGTACTTTCTCTAGCAAGGCTAATCGGAGAACATCGATGCTGAAATACACCTCGATGCAGCAATATATTGCTTTCTTGGAAGAGGAAACTGAAGCTCAGAGAAGTGAGGTGACTTCTCCCAAGAAAGAAATGAAGCAAGTTTCTCAACATTCTTTTCCCTGACTCGAGAGCCCATTCTCTTTAGCATTGCCCTATTCTGTTTCAAGAAAAGCAGCATTTATTTTTGGAATGCCAACCAAACCTGTCCGGAAAACTTATCAGGAAGTCAGGTTGCTCCAGGGATTTTCCCCCATGGCCACATGGGTTGTACCAGAACATCTCTACATATTGCTGCATGCCTGCTCACTGGTCATTCTTTTGTTTTTTGAGATGGAGTCTTGCTATGTTCTGGCTGGCCTTGAATTCTCTCCCTAGCCCAAACTTGCCTCCAACTCTAGATTCTCCTGCCTCAGCCTTTCATTTACTAAGATTACAGACATGAACCACCAAGCCCAGGCACTGTTCGAGTACTCAATTCCTTTATATCTTTTATTCTTTCACAAGGCTTCGGCCTGCCAAAACTGAACTCTTTTAACTCAAGGCATACACCCAACTGCTGCCCTTTAATGACCTATTCATGTAGGTTTCCAAGTTTAGATTCCTAAATGAGAAAACTGGCCAAGATCACCTTCCTGTATCAGGCCATAGGGCACTGGTCAGTTTACATGGGTTGGTCACTTGGGTTAAGCATCCGCTCAATTGTGGCAGTCTGTCACCCTGAGAATTGTGCTTCAGGTAAGTGTGCGCCTCAAAAGACTCCACTGTCAACAGCAGCAGGCTCAAATCCTTAGCCAGGCACTCAGTGCTTCACGGTGCAGTCTCCTGGCAGCCTTCACATCCACACAGAAGTTCTATTGTAAACTTCTGCTTTCTTTTATCACTTCTGTGGCCTGGTATTCTCCTTCCTCTTCAAGATCTACTCCCAGGTCTATCTCATGCTCCTCTCTCAAAACCACTCATTCTTCGAGTCACTAGCTTGGCCTCATGTAAAAGTTTCCTTAACTAAGCCACATACTTTCAAAGGAGAAGTTGCCATCCGAACACATTTCTGTATCAAAGACACTATGCTAAGCCTTTTCCAAAGACTGGAAATCCTTGGAGGTACTTAAGTTTCCCCTAACCCATAGTAGATGCCAAAGGGTTACTGAGAACACCAAACCCCTCGAGTGTTGCAAGAGAAACTTGTTAGTAAGAAGAAAAAAAAAAAAGGTTTGAAACACTTGCCCAAATCAGCCTCAATAATTAGCAGTGTTTCCCACTGTGACAGGTTTTTCAGCTAGACTTTTATAAATCACTGCCTCCTTTGTACATGCTTGGGAAACATCAAACGTGGAGACCCTCTCCATCACCTGCCCATCTCCTGCCTACCATCTCACTTCTCTCATGACTGAGAGGGAAAAGGGGTGCAAGGAGAGACACTTGGAAGTATCCTTGTGATCAAGGCCGTGTTCTGACTTTTCCTTACGTCCACTGAATTGAACCTCAGTGTATCTGATCAATAGAAATTGGCACTCTTCTTTCAACAAGTTTATGTGAGAAATTAAAACTACTCTTTCACTAATTTTAAAAATACAAAACAGAACTATCATCTCATTACATGCTCATATGTACAGTACATAAATGTACAGGAAAAGACTCGGAAACGTGCATCAGAAAGCACATACTACTTCTCAGGAGTGGTTGGTATATTAGTTTCATTATTTGAAAGAAAAGATTTTCTTTGAAAAGTGTAAATTGTCACCTTGCTACTCACACTTAGGATCTTCATGTTTTTCCTTAACTTGCATGATGCATCAAAACATCAGTAAATGCCGTATCACTAATATATCCAATTGTAACAAAATCTAGCTACTCTGTAAAAAAAAAAAAAAAATCACAGGTATAAGGACTAAAATTAAAGCACGGGTTAAATGCTTTATGTCAATCACATGACCACAAATTCATGTTCCCTAGTAGAAGGCCATATGTTTTACAGCAAGCAAAATCACTTGAGTCGTAGTTCTGACACTCCCAAGATATGTTGGGACACTCTGGGCAGGTCGCTTTATTTGGAAAAAGATGATAACGCAAATTTTGCAAAGTTCGTTCTCTTAGCCTCCCATTTCATTCTGAAGTTCAATCTCAAGGCAGGCAGCCAGATCCTCTCCAATTCAGCATGCGTGGTATGTGAAGGACGTGCTCTGGAATCCAGGAGCTCCCCCGTCGGATTTCAACCTGATTGTGCAATCAGCGTGAGTCCTTCCGCTTCTGACAGCCGCAGCACGCCCGCAGGGCCAAAGCCCCTCGCCGCCTGGGGTCTCCGAGGTAGCGACCTGCCAACCTGCGGCGATCGCGGAGCCAGACTACAGCTCCCGGCATGCCTCTCGCCCCCTCCGCCTGCCCCAGGGTCCCCGCGGGCCGGAACCGCAGTCCCAGACCCCTCTGGCAGAGGCCCTGAGACGCCCCGGGAACCTGCAAGAACCTGTCCTTCCGCCCTGGCCGGCGGCGAGTCCACAAGTTTCAACTCAAGCTCTACCCTGACAGAGAGCCGTAGGCCTTCATTCAGGAGGACAAACGTGCACCCCAAGATCCTCGGACACTCCAGCGCCCGGGGCGGGGCGCTCCCCGGAAGTGATGCCTAGTCGCCCCGCAAGCCGCGAGGTGTTTTTCAGCCACTCAGAGCGCGGCTGGGGTCGGAGGGGCGGGATCGAGGGCGTGGCCCTGGGCTGGCGGGGCGGGGCGTCGCGGCGTCGCGCTCGGGGCGGGGCTGCCGCGCGGGGCCGCGCGTCTGGGTGGTGGCGGGGGTGCGTCCGCGGGGAGAGGCGGCCGCGGCTGCGGGCGGGAGGTGGGGGAAGGAAGCACCGGGGAGGGGGTAGGGCGGGCGGGGAGCCGTGTTCCCGAGGCGGCGGCGGCGGCGGCGCGGGCGCGGGCGCAGCAGCGGGCGGCCGAGGCGGGAAGGGAGGATGGAGCCGGCGGGAGGCTGGGGCCGGCGCTAGCCGCAGCGGCGCGCCCCGGGCTGTGGAGAGCGGCGGCCGCTGCTGGAAGTTGTGGCGTCGGGAGCCGCCGCCTGGCGCGGCGGGGAGGAGGTGGAGGGAGCGGCCGGGGCCGGCGGGGGTCGGGCCGGGCCGCGAGCTGGGGAAGCCGGAGCGCGCTCTGCGGCGGGCGGGCGGGCGGCGGGGGGGACGCGGGAGGATGGAGCAAGTGGAGATCCTGAGGAAATTCATCCAGAGGGTCCAGGCCATGAAGAGTCCGGACCACAATGGGGAGGACAACTTCGCCCGGGACTTCATGGTGAGTCTCCGCGGTGGCAGGCGCGGGGCTCGCGGCCCCGGCCTCGGCGCTTTGTGTGCGCGCGGCGCTGCGCTGCGCTGCGCGGTGAAGTGGCCCGCGCGTACCCCGGCCCCCGCCCGCGACCACCCATTGTCTGGGCCGGGCGGAGGCGCGAGGTGCAGGCCGGGCGGGGGTCACCGGCGGGGGGCGCAGGAGCAGGGGGCCGTGGTTGGCACGCACTCCCAAAGTCCGTGGGCTCCAAGTGGCCGAGGTAGGACTCCTGTCGTCCCTCATTCTTAGCGATCGTCCCCTGGGGACGCCTCCTCCAGAGGGACTCGCAGGGCTCACCCAGTTCCCATTCACCCCCCTCTTCCCACCTCTAACCTGCCGGGACGCAGGTTCGGGGTGGCCCTGGGGTCCACGCCACTCCAGGTAGAGGTGGTCCCGGGAGGTGGGGGCTGCCCTTGCAGGAAGCGGACTCCGGATTCCCTCGGGGATGTTGCCGAAGGGGATGTGACTATGACTTCCTATCCGGGGTGGGGGTGGGGAACTCGGGAACAATAGTCCTGGTGGGGCGGAGGCGAGATGCAGGCTGAAGCCCTGAACTGGGAGATAACCTTCCCGGCCCCCCTCTGCTGCCTCCCGCTTCCGCCCTCCGCGCTCGCCGGCCGGCCGGCCGGAGAGAAGCCGGGGGTGAAGTCGTGCGGGTGAGAGGGCTCCGACCCAGGCGGGGGACCCGCAACCGACTTCCTTCAGGGCCCCCCTCTTCGCCCCTTGTATTTATCTGCTGGACAATGTTCCCTCTAGGGTTGTTTCCCGGCTTAGAAGGAGGCGGTGGTTGCGGCTGCCTCTCCTACGGATATTGCGCAAGACCGGGGCGTTGGAAACCCTGGAGGTCTGGGGAATGGAAAAGGAAGCGGGACTTTGGGAAGTGGCTGCTCCTTAGCCGGGATTGAGAATGAGAGCTTGACTAAGGAAAAATTTGCTCCTGGGAAAGGTCCACCTCCCAGGACTGTCACTTAGCTCTCAAATCCGATCGTGGAAACATATGCAGTAAATGTCGGTGAAAAATGAATGGGTCCCCGACGTTGTTTCAGACCGCAGTTGTCTGCGTGTAGTTGAAACGACTTTTGGCATCACGAGAGTTCTTTACATTTTAGAAGCGACTTCTGCCTCCTAAAGCTTTCAGTTGTTAACCATTGAAAATTACGGTTCCTGCTCCTGTAATAGTACCTACTGTTGAGGTTTGTTAGTCCCTCCTCCCAGATCAATAAATACCGGACCAGAGTAGGGTTTTGTTACTATCTCGTGAAGTCGGAAAAGTGTAGATAATCCAGCTGTTCGTCGTTTGACCATTTCTTTTGGTATTTAGTTTGTATATTTTGTGAAAAATCACTTTTTGAATCTGAAAAGGTTGAGGAGGGTATTTTCTCTCCCTGCTGCTGAGAAATTTGACTTAATGTCTTTCCACCGGTGTCGTTTACAATAAAGGGATGAGTCTCTTTTAGTACCCTTCAGCAAAGGTGGGAAAAATGCTCCAGTATTTAAGGGTGCTTAAAATTGGTGTCTTTCAGTCATATTTTTGTTCCTGTGTGCTTTGCTCAGTGTCCAGGAGTACTGTTTGGTAATGCAGGCCTTTGGGACAGGTGTTTAGGCTCTGGACTCCTCTGGAGGAGCAGTAGCCTTAAGGTTCCTGCTTGGTTCATGCTTTGGGGGTGAGTCAGATTTCCTGTTGGAGACCTCGGTTCTCAAGGACTGAATGAGTTTCCTTTTAATCCTTTATTCCTTGGTATAGCTAGTTGATGCTTATTGGAGATTTGATGACTGCAGCTACTCTTTTTAAATAGTGCCTGCCTTTATTTCCTGACTGGTTAAGAAATAGCTATAATTACAACTGCCTGTAGTTGGTGCTGCTTTTCCCTGGACTGCAAGGTTGGAGAGCAGCTATGTCCTCCTGTCAAGGAAAGAAAATAATCAGCTGATATAGTGTACCTGTTCTGATATTCTTAAATTCTGATACAGATTAAACATTTATTTTAAAATCTTAGTATTTTAGAATAGCCTTAGAGATGATTTAGCTACTGTAATCCTGTTCCATTATAATGTAATAATGCCATTTCAGATTTGGAAATTAATGTTTTTAAGGGTTCTAAACGAGCATAGCTACACAGTTATATTTTTATTTATTTATCGTGGCGCTGGGAATTGAATTCAAACACAGGACCTCGTCTATAGTAGGCAAGGCTCTGTATTCTACTTAATTTAAGCTTAGATTTTGATAATCGTTTCTCATTTATCACTGCTTTGTAAAAATTTTTAGTGGCTGTACAGTATTTCATCAGGTGACTTATATTTTAACCATTTTCTTATGGTGAATGTGTAAGCCATTCTGTTGTTTGTAATGTGTAATACTGATTGACATTTGTGCATAAAGGTTCTATATTTTTTCATTATTGCCTACTCTTTCCAGTACTAGAAATAAATGCAAGGTGAATAGATTATGGACATTGAGTATCTGTTTATAAGTAACTTTTTGGAAAATTTTTATACAGCTGTCATTAATGTGTGTCATAGTATAATTAGCTTTATCTTTCTGTATGGTTGAAAGATTATACCTTGCTTTAGTTTTAATTCCTTGATGAATATTGAGGCCGGAAACTTTTCCGCCTATTATTAACTATTCTGTAAGTTATCTTGGCCATGGCCTGTTCCATCCTCATTCTCTCAACGGTAGCATTACTTATTATGCTAAAATTTTCAACAGATCTAGAACTTGTCCTTTTTTAAATCTCAATGTAGTTTTTACAGTTTGGCAGACTGATCATGGTAAATGAGCGAGTAGAATAGGTGACGGTCGCTCATGTTTGACCGAGCTGGGTTTCACTTCCTGCAGATTGCTGAGGTGGCTCTGGGAAAGGTGTCCTCGAGCCATGCTTTGAGAACCAACGAAGCAGTGTACAGGGTAAGGTTGTGAAGGATCTTACACTTCTGCAGTTAGATTTTTCTGGAGCCCCACAGTGGTTGTGGGACCGCTTTGCATTGGGATAAGTGAGGCAGTGCTCCTGTCCAGTTCTCCCCTGCCTGCAGGCCTTTACCTAAATCACTGAGCAGGCTCTGGTGGAGGAGCTGAGGGGCCCTACTCTGGGTTTCTGGAGAGGCTGAGCACTTTCAGAAAGGTTCAGCAGGGTCACGTTTTAGAAAGGAGATTCTGATGGCTGTGCAGACTGGGAACTTCGGAAACTGATAAAACATAGCAAGTGAGACCACAGAGCCAGGACTGAGCAGTCAGGGAGAACAGAGTAGGTAAGGACTGAGAGAAGTCACAGTGAGTAGTGATGAGAAAGGCGAGTGGCTTGGCACCGTCTCACTCCACTAGCAGGTGCCATGTGGTAGGGAATGGAGTGAGGAGCAGCACGTGGGGAGGGTAAAACACGACTGGGGGAGGTTGCAGGGGAGAAGGGGACGTTCACTTTTAGCCCTGTTGAAATTGGAGTGCCTGGAACACCTTCAGAATGCAGAATTTGGGCTGCTAACAGGGTGGAATTAAGGATTTCTGTGTCTTCCCTGTGTGCACAGAGGAAGTGGTTGGAAGCATCTGAATGAATAAGATTATCTGACAGGCATCCAGAGTGACCTGTGTCCTGAGAAGATGTGGTCAGGTCTAGGGAGAAGAACCAGAGACAGCAGAGAAGCCCTGTACAGAGTTCAGGCAGGCGCTGTTGGCGGGGATCACAGTGCTGGGAGGGCGCCCCGCTAGCCTGAGGAGCAAGTTGGCAAATGGAAAGAACGGGTTAGGGTTAGGGTAAGGGAAGAAGCCAGATGACAGTGGCTTGGGGAGGAAACAGGCCATGTGTACACACATTGTCTTTCTGTCTAACTTGATATTCAGGAAGTTGATGTTGAAGCAAGAAGACGCAGGTTGCAGGTCAGTTCCCCTCCCACACTGTCTGTTTAGAAAAATGAGTAATGGAATATTTTCCTAATTATTTCTTATGTCTGTGTATGTCATCTTTTATAAAATGGTCAAGAATAGTAGTTTTAAAAGGCAGAAAGAAGCTTGTCTTATTGCAGTAAAACTTCTAAACTCTTTGATTCAGTGGTTGGACGTGAAATGTTAGAAAATGGGCTGGGGATTTAGCTCAGTGGCATAAGCACCTGCCTTGCAAGCCTGTGGTCGTGAGTTCGATCCCTGGTACCGGTAAAAATACAAAAAAAAACAAACAAAAGAAATCTTAGAAAACAAAAAAGAGAGAAGATGGAAAGCCTGGAAGAATCTTACATGGCAGAAACCAGATGAATACAAAACTTTTCATCATTAATGTTGTGGATGGTAGGTGTGTGTGGTGGCGGTGGGGTGGGGATTGAACCCCAGTCTTTACACTTAGCTCTCCCTCCTCCCCCCAGCTTTATTTATTATTTTGAGACAGGGGTTGTTGTTTTAAGTAAGTAATGGCTTTTTGAGAACTACCATGCAGTGTGTTCATAGCCGATGGTTTGATGGTTTTTAGTACAGCGGCAGGAGTGTACAGCCATCATGGCAGCAAGGGACCCTGTAACGGACCCTGTACTCATCAGCAGTCCGTCCCCACCGTTCCTGCTGTGGGCAACCACTAAGCTGCCTTCTGGCTCATCTGGACATTTCCCAGAAATAGAATCATATTTGCTGCTTTCTGCCTCTCCTTCATAGTATTTTTAAGGTTCGTTCATTTTGTTATATGGGTCAGTAATACTTTGTGTTCCTGCTTTTTGGCCATGACTTGTGTTTTGAGATACTGAGGACTGGATCCAGGGCCTCTACACTGAGCAGTAACCCCAACCCTTTGTTCCTGTGACCCAAGACCTCACTGAGTTGCTAAATTGTCCAGGCTGGTTTCCAACTTGCTAGCCTGCCTCAGCCTCCCAGAGCTCTGGGATTATAGGTGTGGCTTTGGCCCTTATTAATAATGCCATGGACATGTATTTTATGTGGAACTCTGTTTTCAGCACTCTAGGAGCAGGATTGCTGGGCTGTTTGGCCACTG